GCGATGCAACCGTCTACTTATCATTCAATCGTTCGAGCGTTCGCACCTCTCCTTCTATTGCACTGATCGATGGCCTAATAGTGAGGCTAGGAGTGTGAATTTGTTATCCAACTCAGTGGCATGCAGTTGTATCGGCCGATACTCCTCTACTGATTCGCGCCGACCTACTACTCCTCTTCGATCGTTCGATCGTTTGCACCTCTACTACGGTATCCGATACTCCTCTTCGATCGTTCGACTACAGTATCGTTTGCACCTCTCTACCCGGTTATCGGCCTGATACTCTCTTCGATCGTTTCGACTACAGTTATCGTTTTGCACTCTACTCTATCAGCTCTGTCGCGATGCTCTGATAGTGAGGGCTGTGCAATGAGGGTGCTATTCTTTTTTTAAAAGTGCTGTTCTTTTTTTAAATGTGCTGTTCTTTTTAGATTTTTAAACAAGCTAGACTTGCTGTCATAAGGCCGCTCTCTACCGGAGCGACTAAAGTAGCGACTATAGGAAACCTTTAGGTGGTTGTTTAGTTCAAGATTTAGTCATGTATCCTTTAGTAATGTGGTGTCTACCAGCAGATGACTAAATCTCGGACTAAACAATTTAGTCCAGTTTTTAGTCAAAACATGGTGTCTACCATGGCGACCTGGCGACTAAACAAATGACTAAACGGAACACTACCTGGACTTAAAGGACTAAAAAAAAGATTTAACAAAGTGATCGCTACCAATATTCTATCAGCATGGTGGATTTAAAGGACTCAAACAAAGATTTAACAGAAGTGATGATTACTTTTTTGAGATAATAAGACTGAGATAACAAGACTCAAAACACACCATCGGTCGATCGGTCGATCGTTCGATCGTTTGCACCTCCTACTCGATCTCTTTTGCACCTCTACTCTATCAGCTCTGTCACGATGCTCTGATAGTGAGGCTGTGCAATGGGGCTGCTGTTTTTTTTTTGAAGAGTGCGACCGGATCGTTTGCACCTCTACTATCATTCAATCGTTCGTTCGTTCGTTCGATCGTACTCTCTTCGATCGTTCGAACTCCCACGAAGGCACCTCTGTGGTAATCCTGTTGGAATTTGTTATCCAACTTGGTGTGCAGTGGTATTGTTTTGCACCTCTACTCTATCAGCTTTTCGCGATGCTCTGATAGTGAGGCTGTGCAATGAGGGTGCTGTTCGCTGTTCTTTTTTTAAAGCTGTTCTTAAAAAGCTTTAGTCGTTATGTTCGCTCACCGACTAACCAAGCCTCCCGTTAGTCGGTGAAGCGAACATAATGACTAAAGCCTTTAGTCCGTGGGACGTTTAGTCGCTTGGGTAGACACCACCCCCAGAGACTAAACTATCAACTAAACTACGAAATATGGCTTAGTCGCTACTTTAGTCGCTTGGGTAGAGAGCGGCCTAACCAGCCTCCGGTTAGTCGGTGAACCAACTTTTCAACTAAAGGCTTTAGTCCGTATGAGGTTTAGTGGCTTGGGTAGACACCACCCCAAGAGACTGAACTATGGACTAAACTACAAAATATGGCTTAGTCGCTACTTTAGTCGCTCCGGTAGAGACCGGCCTTAGCTTTCTGCATGAAGTCCAACCGAAAACTCGCTCTTTACTGATTGAGAGGAGCACTGCCTCCTACTGGTGTACCGTAGTTGTTTCGTGCTGTTTGCTTCCTCTGTTGGGCCGTGTGGTCCTCTGGCGACCAATTTTGGAAGAGGGAGTGTCCACCGTTGCCAGGAGCGCCTGAAAACGGGACTCGCGAGCACCTCTTCCGCGAATCCGCGACTCGCGTGCGGCCGCGGCGCGAATCCGCGAGCGCGGCCGCGAATAACCGCGAAAATCCGCGAGATTTAGGATGCCACTTTTAAAAGATATAGAGGAGTTGGTTCTTAAATCTCGCGGATTCTCGCGGTTATTCGCGGATCGGCGGATCGTTTCGTGGATCGCGGATTCGTGGAAAACCGTTAAATCCGCGGATCGTGCCACGATTCGCGGATTATCAGCCGCTCCAGATATTGGTTCGTGCAGCACAATGGAAATGTTGCGGGAGTCAGTCTATGTCAGAGCAACCCGGCCCGTGTGACGAGTCATTCCAGTCATGGTGCATTCAAACCCAAATTTGTTGGCAATGAGCGCTCAATGCAACAACGAAGCAACCCGAAACCAGTGATCAAGCGGTAAGACCAGCACAACTATGTATTTGGGTCCAGTTGTGACTAGATAGTCTACATGTCGGTCTTGCCGTCCAAACCAGTAGGCAGAATCGAATCGTTGGCGGGCACGATACCATGGGTTGTGCTGGCTGAAGGCACAACATGATTTGCACACATTGCTGTTGCTTTGCTAGTGATACCGGTAGCGAAATGCAAACTGCAAGATGACAGAAAACTCAATGCTTGCCAGCTATCTTTCCGGGCTACTAGCTAGCCAACCACGATGCCGCGATTGTGGAAATAGTTGGGGACAATGCAAGGCCAATATTAAGAATGGGAGAGGGTCATGCCATCCAGAGACCAAAACCTGTCCCGCCGCGGCGTAAAAAACCACATTGCGGCGCGGGGAACCAAAGACGCGTGCAAGCTTCGCGTTGGGACAGCATACCGGTACCACCTCGAACAAGCGCTACGAGACAGCAGCGAACTGCATCAAAACGAGGAATCTTCCCTCGTTTCCCTCTCAACTCACCTCGAACGTCCATGCAAAAGAAGCACCTAGTGGCTATCGTACCATCTGATTCGCCCAGGATGCCCAGAAGACGACAATCACGAGCGGAGACACAAGCGAGGTAGTCAAAGAAGCGAGTATCGTCGACGATTTCTCCGCTCCAAGAAGTTCGTGAACATTCAACAAGCCCTGCATTGGCAAAGATAGGAGGCCCAAGAATGCCCATTCGCAAGCCATCCGAAACCGACGAGGCTTGTTTGGACAGGAAGTGCTAGGATAGAGGGGCAAACACCGCATTCACAAGCTGGAAGCTCATTCCGTAATCAGTCAACTAATAAGAACAAGGGGGAAGGAGGCAAACACTTGTTTCCTACTGTAGGACACAAGCCACCCAGCTAGCTAGCTACTAACGTAATCAGCAACGCACTCCTATTTTGAGTTGGTACAGTTTTCGGGGCTGTTGCGAGGGAAACTGGCCGACGATCGCAGCTTTGGACTCTTTGAGCTGTTGATGGTTTGACTGTCGATGCGACGATGCACAACAGCACCAACGATGTCTGATTTCTGATTTCGCTGGTTGCCGACAATTCTTTGTGTCAAGTGCCAAACGAGAAAACCAATGACTGACTCGAATGAGTGTGACGTGTGACATCTACCGTACTCCGGAGTACTAGCTAGTACTACTAGTAGCTAGCTACTAGTACTGTACGGTACCAGCGGCATGGTATGATGGCATTATGGATTATTGTCAGCATTAAGGACTGGTTCACTTGTTCGGCCAAATCATTCAGCATTCAACTATTTTTTAAATACTACTATCAATACGCTGAATGATTGATTCCGCATACAGGTAGTCTAGTTAGACTAGCTGTCTAGTTTTAGTTTTTTTACCTGTGGTGCATTGTAGCCGTAAGTTTTACGGAAATGTCTTTTTGTAAATTTTGGATACATACATTAAAATTTCAGGGAAGTTGGGCAAATTAAGGAACTTTTATGTAAAAATGATGTTAATTATGGAAACTTCGGTACTGTTAATAGGAAAGCCGCTTACTTTTACTGTTCTTTGGTGTTTACGTTCCGTACCGGTAGTCTACCCTAGCCTTCAGGATATAATAATGATGCTTTTACTGTATACGACTTTTACGGTTTTCAGTTTTGCTATAGTTTCGGTAAATATCAGTAAATAATTGGAAATGTACACCCCCTAAAACTGGGACCCAATTTTGGAACAAAGCAACGATTCGGACATTCGGACCCAATGGTAGCTACCGTTAGATGTAATCAATGGATTGTACTATAAGAATGTAAGAATTCCTCTTTAACTCCGCAGTTTCTGACAAAAAAAACAAATTTAATAATCTTGGTTGCCAAAATCGAGAATCAATGACTTATTGTAAATCTACTGACTGTGACTTCCATGCTGTTCTCGGACATCACGATGTCTCATGGTAGCATCGTGGTATTAAGGATCCTTAAAGAATGTATTTTATTTTAAAATAATATAATAGAACTACATGTACAGCGTACTCAGAACTCAGTATGAACTACAGTCAACGCTCGCTTATATTTATAATCTTGTATTTATTCGCTCTATAATATTTAAGAATACTCCAGTTCCCACATTTTTAACTCTAACCCTATTTTAGTACTAGAGCACGTACAATTCTACGGGAATAGTTAGGGTTAGGGATAAAATCAATATTTATTCTCGCTGTTATATTTACTGAATTCCTGAATCCCCCCCAGTATATATATCTGAATGTTGACTGTATGCAGTCATTTGCACCCATGACCAAATGCTCGTGTGCTCGTAACACAGTACCGTACAAAAAATTTACCAGTGGAACTTTACCAGTGGTACCGTGCTACTGGTACCATGACTGAATGTTGCCATGTTGCCAGTTTCGCAGTCTGACATCGCAACAACTCAGCTTGTGGTTGACTTTTAACAGATAACTACTAGCTAGCAAGCTTGGAAGCCGCTGGTCAACCCACCCACTTATTTTGTCACTGACAAAACACACAATTGGGGAACTTCACCGAGCTCCGTGGCACCTTTTTCTCAAGAGAAAGAGTCAAAGTTTTACCCTCGCAACACCGATTGATTCGATTCCAACCATGCCCAACCCAATGAATTCCCGAGAAGAGGACGAGCTACCGGTAGCGTCAGAATCCGATGTTGACAGCACTTGGAGTGAGGAGGGCAGAGAAGCGCCGAAACCAGAGGGGAAGACGCTCAACCAAACTCTGGCTAGAACGGAAACCAACGCTGTACACTGCTTGCGTTTCGTCGTTTTCCTGGTTCTTGTCAGTGCTGCTGTCTTGGTTTCGGCTGCTGTCTTTCTCTATATGGAACGTGACGAACAGAACACCTTTGAAAGCCAGTTCTATGACCTCGCCTCCCGATTGGGTAAGTACGCGGTCGGGTCAGCTGTCACTGTGGCACGGCGTTGATAATCCCGTGCTGAAATTGGTATACCTAACTATGCTCCTTGTTTGATCTCTTACTACCGGTACAGTCGAAGGATTCCACTCCAACGCCAAGCTTCGAGTTCAGGTAGCTGACATGTTGGCCGTTTCGCTCACTTCCTCGGCCATTGCTACCAATCAAGTGTGGCCTTTTGTCACATTTCAAGACTTTGATGCACGGGCTACTGCGGCGCGTTCCATTCTTGGCTCGCAGTATCTCGCGGTCTACCCACACGTGACTAAAGAGCTACGAGAAACCTGGGAGGAGTACTCGCAGGATGTCAACAATCTGGACTGGGTGAATGAATCTGCAGCCTTTCAGGAAGACTTTTTTGACAGGCACAACCGTAGCGCCTCGGTGACCAGGCTGACACGAAGACTACAAGAAGTGGCAGACTCTGATCTTGCTGCTTTGGACGAAGAGGGGGAACCATTAGTCAACAACACGGTACCCTGGGATGGCACCTACGGAACCAGCGCCCAAATTTATCGGACTGGAGATCCGGAAAACCCTGACGATTTCGGAGCGTGGGTCAATGAGGATGAAGATGCTCCAGGTCCATTCTATCCAATGTGGCAAGTCTCGCCTACAGCACAATCGACACTGGGCAGCGTCAACTACAATGTGATTGATCCATTCTACCCAGGATCGTACATCGGTGCAGTAACCCTTGTCAAGTCTCTTGGCGAGGCTGTGTTTGCAGGAGTGTGGAATGTAGACGAGAATGGTTACATTGATGAAAATGATGATTATGATTATCGAGAGACTCCAGTGTCAAGCTTGATGTACCCAATCTTTGATATAAGGTTGTAGGGGAAGACAAAACTGTAGTGGCAATTCTTGATGTTGACTATGAATTTGGTCCATTCTTTACTTCAGTCCTCCCTCCCAATGCAAATTCTATCACTTGTGTGGTTTCAAACTGCGACCAGGTATTCACATTTGAGGTTACTGGTGAAACAGCTGTGTACAAGGGGCCGGAAGACTTGCATGATCCAAAGTTTCATGATTATGTGGTATCTACGATGATGACAGATTTTGAGAGTTCAAATGGGGGTACTACATACAATGGCGCCTCAGTTCACAAGGATTCCTGTTCCTGGGAACTGAAAATCTATCCAACTCAGGATATGGAGGATGAGGTTGTGACATCCAGGCCTCTGTACTACATGATGGCTATATTGGGGGTATTCCTCTTTACCTGCTTGACATTTATTGTCTATGACAGAATTGTGGAGTGCCGACAAAAGAAAGTAATGGACACTGCAGTCAAATCAGATAACATCGTTGCTTCCCTCTTCCCGACAACCTTCCGCGACGCACTCTACGAACGTGAAACTGAAGCATCCAAAATGAAGAAAGCAGAAGAAGCTCCTCCCTCCAACTCCAAGGATGCTTTCAGATCAGTCTGCGCAAAGGACTTCATGCAGCAAGATGAGAGCTCCTTAACCGGCAACGTGCCAGTGGCCGGGGAACCTTTGGCGAACCTCTATCCAGATTGTACTGTCTTCTTTGCTGACATTGCTGGCTTTACATCTTGGAGCTCATCCCGTAGCCCCACTCAAGTCTTCACATTACTGGAGACTATCTATGGAGCATTTGATGTTCTTGCTGACAAGCATTCGATCTTCAAGGTTGAGACAATTGGTGACTGCTACGTCTGCGCGACAGGTGAGTTGGGCAATTCATACTGTAGCTGGCTTGCTATCTGTGTGATTATGTCTCCATCTAACTTTTCTTTTGGTTCCCTTCAGGTCTACCCGAACCACAGTCCAAACATGCCTTGCTGATGGTAAAATTCGCCAGAGATTGTCTGGCCAAAATGCCAAGTTTGCTAAAGAACCTTGAGGGTTCGCTAGGATCTGGGACAACTGACCTTTCAATGCGGGTTGGTATGCACTCTGGGCCCGTCACAGCTGGAATACTGCGGGGTAAGAAGTCACGTTTTCAGCTGTTTGGTGACACAGTAAACACAGGTACGAATGACTATAAGAATGTAGCAGATTATAATTGTTGGTGGCATTGGTTTTGCTCACTTGCTGTGTGCACCTTTGAACTTCCAGCCGCCAGAATGGAATCCAATGGCCAGAAACATTGCATCCATGCATCCCAGACTACAGCAGATATCTTGGCCAGGATGGGCAAGGGTCACTGGTTGCATCCAAGGGAAGAGAAGATCACTGCCAAGGGGAAGGGGGAGTTGCAAACATATTGGATCAGACCATCCGCTCCTGGGCAATCTGTGGGTACAAGTATCCTGGGAGAATCGGAACTCGCTTCTGTGGATAGTTTCAGTTCGCAACCTCAACCTTGGATGGAAGCGAGAGGACTATCAAGGGCCATAGATCAGGAATCCCACAATCAGGAAACCTCAGACACGAAATCACAGATATCTTGCTAGTATTGGCGACAATCCGTCTTTGGCGGTGTTTTGTGGGTCAGTGCTTGGGTTTAACTTTTAAAAGTACGTATCATTCTAGCTAGCCAGAGATCGACACTACCCCGTCCTGTTCTGCTGTAGCAAGCTAGATCTTTAGCTCACAAACCATCCCAAAATGATCGCTCAGAAAATGGGTTCTGCTGGACGGAATCACTGGTTTGTTGGCCAACAACCCAAACGACTCTACCGAGACCATTCCTGAATCTGCTTGTGCTGGAGGCGAAATGTAGATGCGATCGTAGCGAGTGGCATACTCCCGCGTTTTGTCTCCGTAGTATTTGTTAAAGTATCCGCCCTCCTCGTCCATATGATTCCTAGTGTCCCACGTGTGTTGAGTGGCTGGATCAGCACCTGCGAGCTTCCAAGCATCGAGCAATCCAAAGTCAGTCCCTTCCATGACAGCGTCTTCTTCCGTTCTCATGTTCGTATCCCCAGCAATCACGAGAGGCTGCTCCTTGCCCGCGGCATCCAACAACCCCCCTACTTGGTGGCGGCGCCTACCTGCCCCGCCCGCAAAGGGTGCCAAATGACAGGATGCCACCATGACAGCTCTTCCATTGGCATGTGTAATTTTTGCCACGACGGCAGGGATACGATCCGATAGCGGCACGGGGGTGGCATCCAGACCGTTTCGGACGAGGAGCATTACATAAAAGGCATGCGATGACTTGACCCCCATCACCTGATACCCCTCAAAATAAGTGGCCGCCCATTCTTCTGGCCGACGGGGGCATTCTTGCAAGGCCAAGATATCTGGATCCTCATGAAGGAGTTCCTTTTGCACGGCTTTTGTCACAGTATCCACATTCCAGTCGGATGGTGCCTCTTCGGATGGATCACAAGCTGCCAGGTTCATGGAGACAATCTTGAGGGACTGTAGTTGTTCCAATGCTGCAGGATTGTCATTTGCGGGAGGCTTGGTCGACTGCGATCTCTCCTCTGATGGATCTGGCTTTCGGATGGTAGCTGTCATTGACATGGTGCTGTTGTTGTTTGTTCCAAAGACCAATAACAATAGGGCAGCGAATGCAAGTAACGAAATGACAAGGGTTGCCTGTATGCTTCTTGTTTGCTGTTGCTGCGAGTTCTTGCCGTTTTGTGGTGTGCTCATCGAAGCGGAATCTCGCTTTCCCGTCTCTGTCTTGGGATCGTTCACAGCAGCAGCAGCACGATGTCTCATTCCAGACAAGCCAAAGAGGCAACCAAGGAATGCGACGATGACGACTGAAAGGTGCAGGACCTTTGACTGTTGAAGCGTTGATGCCGAGGTCGACTCGAGTCGTGCCTTATCCATGACTTAAAAGATCCAAGTTGCCAGGTGGTGAAGAGGAAACGGAACCCATCAAATCACAAGAGACAAAAGGGAACAAAAAGGACACCCCCACAAAGACAACAGAACACAATATCACAACAAAGAAACTAATCAGCAAGCAAGCATCCAAACTACCGTAACAAATATCATGCATGACAACAACAGCAACGAAGCCTTTACCAAGCTGCTGAGTCCTCAGCCAGACACCATGACGGCTCGTGGCAGCGACGAAGATGAAGATACGCTCCGCTATTATCTCGACGATGATCCCGAGATTAATTCTTCCATCACTGGTTGTTTCGAAGCCTCTTTTCTAGGAGCCGTTGCGTCGGCGGTGTGCTTTCCAATCACTCTATTGGCCTGCTGTGGGTTGACCATTATTCCTGAGCGACAACACGCAGCAGTGCTCTACTTTGGCAAATATTCCGGCAGTATCCAGAAACCAGGCATTCACTTTTTGCCACCCATCGGGGCAGGTACGTCCAGTTTTTTGACCTCGAAGATGACGAGGAAGATATCACAGAGCAAAACGAATTGCCCTGTTTCTCGGGGTGTCCATCAAGACTAAGTAGTACTCACATGCTGAATTTTCCTTCATCTTCCTTCATCTTCAGAATTCCGTTATATGTCAACCGCCACTCGTACACTGAACTTGACGGATATCAAAGTATTGGACCAACGCGGTAACCCAATCGTAGTGAGCGCAGTCGTTACTTTTGAACCCACGTCGGCCAAAAAGGCACGCATTGATGTCGAGAATCCCTGGCCGGAAAGACGAAGTGGCGAGGACGAAACCTTTTTGCAATTGCAGGCACAAGCCGTCTTGAAACAAGTGGCATCCATGTTCCCCTACGAGGCACCTCCCGGTGAATCTTCGCTGCAAACCGAGGGCGCGCATATTGCCGACATGCTCATTGCCCGATTGCAGAAACGCGTGGCCGTGGCAGGGGCTCGGATCCAGTCGTTTGATTTGGTCGACTTGAGCTATGCCAAGGAAATTGCTTCCGCCATGTTGGTGCGGCAACAGGCAGCTGCGTTGGTCGATGCAAGAAAGCTCATTGTCAAGGCGGCCGTCGATATGACACACCAAGCCGTCAAGGATCTAGAGGAAAAAACAGGAGAACCAATGTCCAAAGAAATGCGAGAACGGACATGTGCCAATCTACTCACTGTGGTGTGCTCCAGTGAAGCCGTCACTCCCACCTTGCCTGTTGGCTAATTTTCGGCACAATGAGGTGGTTGGCAGTTATTGGTTTGTTTGGTGGTTCTTTTTGTGTTGTGCTGTTGTGTGGTAGAATAAGTTCAGTTGCGTAAGTTAGTTCGCTTTGCTCCTTTCCTGATAGCTGCTTGGCCAGCCAGATTCTCGTTCTGTCGGTTATGAATGCAAGAATTTGCTCTATTGAATGCTGGCGAAGAACTGGTTGCCAAGCTCCAGACAAGCGAGGAAGACGAGGTTTCTACATTTGTGATTGATACTTTACTAATATTTACTGTTACATGCACCCGGGTACAAGATAGTCGACGGCGCAATGAAGCCAAAACGCCGCACGAGATAGCTAGCTAGAAGACACAATTGGCGGAAGTTACGTCCTGTTGAGATTGTTGCTTGATTCGATCGCAAAACATCAACACTACGTCTCGTATTCCACACAAGACGAACTCTGAGGTGCCAAGTGTTTTTGCGTGGATTCCCAACCCCTGCGGTTTTGCCAAGCAAACTTGAGATATTCGCTTCCAGCAGCTCCCAGCACAAACGGAAGTTGCAGCTTCTCTGCGAGTGGAATGATGACATTGTCGAATAAAATAAGTTCTTGTTGATACCAATACCGGGATGGATCGATCGAGAGGGTACCGTTCTCGTAATCATCGCAGAGCTCCTGATAGAGCTTGGCATTCCACTTTTTGTAGTTTTGCCAGTGTTGCATAGTATGAGTCCATTGAGCAGCCAGGCTAATGTGCTCGAGGATGGAGGCGGCTTGATCATAGGAAACAGTGGCTAAGGTCAATGCACTGCTTGCGTCGTCGTTGCTGTCGTAGCCGCGAAACGCTGCATTCCATCGGTATTCACGTTGAATGGCGTACGCACTGTTGGACATGTCCGCCCCTACGACGAGATTCACCAACAGCTGACGGAAGCAGTAGAATTCGTCCTTGTTGGAGCACAGGCAGACGCGCAAGGAATAAAGTCTCTCGTCAAGAAGCAAGCGCCATGCAGATTGAAGCGAGCGGTAGTAGGTATTTGCATGCTTTGTGGAGAAAGACAAAGAGGAGGACCGACCATCGCGATCGTCATCGCCATCTTCAAACGAAACCTGTAGATTGTCGCTGTTCGAGGGGTCCATATCTCGGATGATGGCTGCCAAGAGCACAACAAACTTCATCCAAGCGTTCATTTGCCGCCCCGGCCCAAGCTTGGATGATAGTTGCTCCATCATATTATCAGCAGACATGAGCACTTGACAGGCATGAGTGTAGTTGTGAAACGGAGTCTGGTTGTATTTGTACGCGATGCATGTGATGAAGATTCGCAACTGATCTTCAGCTTTTCCACCTCTGAACTGCAAAAAGTCTTCCTCTGCATGCCAACTGCTGTCGCCCAACTCAAACAATGATTCGCACAAATGGTCATCCCAAACAACCCCAACAGCAGAAAAGTTTTGATTGGACCATACTTCGTTGTGTGGTTGCTGGACTGCAGAGTCTCGACGTTCTACGACAATCCATTTCAAGTGCTTGAACAGCAAATCTACTGTCCAACCAATGCTGCGATAGTTTTCTTCTGCCCACTTCAATTTGTCCATGTCTGTTCCCCGCAACCCCTTGAGGGCTTCCTCCACCGAAACAAGCGTGTCGAACACCTTGTCATCCGTGGAATCGGATACGACGCTCGATGTCGCTGACGAGGAAGACGTTGGCCTGATCCAATAGGTTTGAATTTCCCCTTTGCCTTTTGCAACCTTCTCAGCAACAGAAAATTGTCAGCGTTGGTTAGAAAAGGAAGCAACGCAATCACATGCACAGGAAGCTAAAACTTACAATTTTGTCCTCCCGTTGCATGACCCAGTGGCTCTTACCCTGGGAAACTAAAATGTCTGCTGTGTCCGGTGAAGCATGGATACAATTCTTCCGGCCATTGGATTCCATCCTGGAGGCTGATCAGAGAGAAAGCTGAAAATGTGAGTGCACCACGAATGCTATCTGACACCCAATCTGCTAACCCACCGACCTGTATTGACTGTGTCTCCAAACAGCTGGAAACGAGCCTTCTTGCCTCGCAAAACACCGGCTGTCACAGGACCAGAGTGCAAACCAACCCGTATTGCAAGATCGCCTGTTCCAGGGCCCAACGACCCTTCAAGTTGTCTTGTCAGCCCCGCCATTTTCCCCAAGCAATCTCTAGCAAACTTCACCATCAATATTGCATGCTTTGGTTGTGCTTCAGGTAGGCCTGATGGGGATCAAATTGAAAAGTTAGATAGACAAGTGCTCGCAAAAAGACTGCCCCAACAGCATCATCCCACTCACCTGTCACGCAGACATAGCAGTCGCCAATGGTCTCAATCTTAAAGACCGAGTGCTTGTCAGCAAGACTGTCAAAGGCAGCATATATTGTTTCCAGCAGAGTAAACACATGGGCAGGGCTACGAGCAGAACTCCAAGCTGTAAAGCCAGCAATGTCCGCAAAGAAGACAGTGCAATCTGGATAGAGTTTTGCAAGTGGCTCTGCACCTTCGACAACCTGAGGTTTGCTGGTGTTTGTTTGGTAGTTGGCACTCAGGAAGGCATGGCCATTCTGGGGACCTTGTGTTTTGTTGCCAATTGGACCTGAATTGTGCGATACACTTTCTCGTTTGTAGAGAGCTTCCTGAAACCCTTTTGGAAAGAGGGAAGCCACAATTTTGTCTGATTTGACAGCAGTATTCATCAGCATCTTTTGCCGACGTTCAACAATCCTATCATACGCAATGAAAGTCACGCATGTGAAGAAGAAGACTCCAAGGACAGCCAGCATGTAGTAGATTGGATTTGAAGTCACAAAGTGATCCTTCATTTCTTGTGTGGCATACACATTTAGCTTCCAGGGACAGTACTCTTTGTCAATTGGGGCACCATTGTAGACTGTGCCAGCACCGGAATCCTCAAAGTCAGTCATCAAGGTTGAGACCACAAATTCATCAAAGTTGGGATCGTGGGCATCCTCTGCTCCCAAATACTCGGCAGTCACCCCAGTGACCTGGTAGGAAAAGACTTGCTTACAGTTGGAGACCACAGCAATGACTGGATCTGCATTGGGGGGCAGCACTGAAGAGAAGAATGGGCCAAATTCATAATCCAATTCTATCACAGCAACCGTGGACTTTTCACCCTCTTCATCAGGGACAATTTTATCAAAGACAGGATACAGAAGGGATGCTGCAGGTACAGTCCTTTGATCAAAATCATCGTCTTCGTCAATGTAGCCATCTTCATCCACATTCCAGACTCCACCAAAGACGGCATTTCCAGTGGACATTACCAGCGGGATTGCGTCAATGTAAGCAGAGGGATGAAAGTCGGGATCGATAATGTTGTAGTTGATGTTTCGTACGACGATGGCTTCTTCCGCAGGTGACATTTGCCACATGGGGTAGAAAGGACCTGGTGAATCCAATTTTTCGTACACCCATTTCCCGTCATCTGATGGGCTGTCGGGGTCACCAGCACGGAATATCTGAGAACTTGTCCCATAGGTTCCATCAAAGGTGACGTTGTTGCTGATATCCTCTACTGTGATGTTAGCCCCAGACTCGAAATCGATACTGAACTGCGTCAAGAGTGCTCGTGATTGTCGTGTTACGTCCGAACTTCTGTTGTGTGTTTCCATAAACTCGTTCTGGAATGCCACAGATTCGTTGATCCATTGTAAATTTTCGACCTGTTGAGTATATTCTTCCCATGGCCTCCGTAGTTCCTTGATCACACGAGGGTAAACTCCAATGAAAGAAGCTCCCAAAACGGACCGTGCTGCCGTTGCCTGGGCCTCGAAATCTCGGATTGTCACAAATGGCCAAACCTGATCCGTGGCCAATGCAGAAGACGTCAATGAGATGCTCAGCATGTCCACAACCTGGACTCTCAGTTTGGAATTGGAATGAAATCCCTCCACTGAATCATGTATCGAGATTTGATTCGATTCGGAACGAGAGAAAAGAAACATCCAGTTAGTTGGAATAATGAGACAATCGCTCCATATACCCATCTCCATCAATCTTTTCGTACCTAACCGGAAAGCAAGGTCATAGAACTGCTCCTCAAAGGTTTGTTCCTCCTCCATTTTTAGAAACACGTAGACTGTCACGCACACAAATGTCGCCGCTGAAAACAGCAAGATGAATACCACCAATCGAAGAATGTTGATCATGCGGGTCTCGTGTTTGGCAACATCCAAGGATGACTTGCGACGACCACTAGCACTCTTACTTTTCCGACTTGCGTTGCTGAATCGACCACTCAGATGGCTGAAAAGGCCCCGCTTGGAATCTCCAGAAGTTGGTGTCCCCGTTGCCTCGCTGTCGCTAATGCTGGCAATCGACACTTCCCAATCATCATGCTCGTCTTGAAACGGATCCTTTCCTTTGTTCTTCCACCTCCTACTCGAGTACATGATGATTGCTGATTTTTAATTTAAACTAATCAATCAATTGTAAGAGCTAGAGAGGCAACAATAACTCGCTGGCTACTAGCTAGCTAACTCTGGTGGAATGAGAATTGAATGGATATTAGTACGACTGTAGTGGTCAACAGGTAGTCCTTGCAAGTCCGAAGGTGATGTTGTGCCTCGGTGGGAACAGCTTGCCGGTTTTATTCAGGCTAAGAAGTCACCGGTCACACGGAGGGCAAGCACATGGAATTCTGTGGAAAGTCGAAAGCAACTTGGGCGAAAGAAGACTTATGGTGGTCGAACCCAGAATGTAAGCCAGCTTTAAGCTGCTAATATTCGCACCAATTTCATCGCGAGAGATCTAGTGAAGCAACAAACAATCGATCGAACAACAGCTGTAGCTAAAGGCGTGTTGTAATCGCCCAATACGTCCTGCCGCTGACTGTTATACTTGAAGGAAGTCTCTTCTATATAGTAGTGAAGGTGTAAGCGATCGGTCCAAGTGGATATCTGATCGGCCTGTTATCTTTCTGCGAGGCATCAGAAGGCGTCGAAGTTTCTTGATTCTGCTGCTTCCGAACGATAAATCTCGACGCCTGCTGCTGCTATAGCCCTGCAACCAGCTACTACTCTCTTCCTTATACTATTAGCAGTAGATAAATGTATGGCTGTAGGGCTTTATAATGAGCGGGCACCAAGAGAATGGGCTCTCTAACAGTGCGAGTGTGTTGTCGGTGCTGATTGCAGTTTTGTTTGTTCCTCACTCACCGATGGAATCTCGCTTTCTTTTTTGAAACTCGGTGAAAAGGACCAAAACGTGTTTTTTGTACTATTTTACTATAGACCGCGCAATTCAGTCTGGGAGCACACCACCAAAAAAGTGAGGTCAAATTTGAAAGACGATATTCTGGGGGCAAGCCCACAAAACAACGGCCAAGAATTCGAATCTTGGCCGTTTCATACGTAACAGTACATATCTAATGTCAGCCACTTCAGCCATCGCTCGAACTGGACGCTCTAGGTTTATGGCAACACTCTTCATTACAAAGAAATCACTACCTTTAGCAAGCTATCTAACTAGCTAGCTAGATGACATTGCTGCCAGCCTCACTATCATCATCATCATCATCAAGAGCTCCAACATTGTCTTCCTCATTGTCACCATCAAGTGCATCAAATGGAATGCACTCTAAATCCGCCAAATCCTTGGTTCCATCCTCTACCATCTTAGCCAAATCTTGAGCTGTTTCCTCTGGGCTTACCTCCTCTTCAATTTCAGCTTCTGGGATGCTTGCTGCCTGGCTAGAAGCACTAGCAGCCGGAATAGAAGCTGCAATTGGAGTGCTTGCAGCCAGCTCTGATAGTAGCTTTCCAGTCAACCTGTCATATTCGGCGGCAGACATGGAATCGCCTGTCTTGCCGCACCTTTTGGATTTGGTCGAAACGTGCCCCTTCTTACCGCAGAACGGGCAAAACTTGCCTTTGCTGGTAGTCGTCTTTGTCGTTTTCCTCTTCTTTGCAGGCCGTTTTGCGGCATTCTCGGCATCGATGCGTGCCGCCTCAGCAGGAAGCTGCTCTTGCGGAAGATCCAAATTCATGCCCGGGCGGTAGCATTTGTGTCGTTTCGCCCATGACTTCTTCGTGGCAATGGTTTCAATACGGATCCTTTCGTTCTTCTTTTCCGCCCGGTATTTCTTGTACTCTGGAGTCTTCAGCCGGTCCAATCGTTTCTGCCTAGCATCCTGTCGGAACGTCAGGTAATGCTGGACGTGCGGAGTCATGTCAATGCCGAGCTTGACAAATAGACGGTTGAAAAATTTCACATATCCAAGTGAGACGATGCCGATGGCCAAGGCAAGACGGTTGGCTAGCGAACAGGACCCGGAAAAGACTTTGTTCTTGGGTGCGAACCAGGTACAGACGCTGTTGAATGACTCGTTTGCATTTGTGTCCAAGCCGTGGGCAATCTCTCTCAATCGTTCAAGTTCACAGTAGCGCCCCATTTTCTTCTTTAGCAGCTCGTAAAGCTCCGCATCATCTTTCTTGTCGCGGTAATACTTCTTGCTTGCAGCTTGCTCCTCTTGCGTTGCCTTGCACCGAGCACACCAATCACCGCATTTGTCGTGGGCATCAAAGTGGTGCTCCAAACAGGCCCAAGCGACATCCTCATACTCGGATTCATCGCGGTCTTTGAGTGTGCGAGCCATGTAGCCGTAGTTCTTGCCCAGACGAATGGAATCCAACCTGGTCATTGTCTTCTTGTCGGCAACCTTGGCCAAATCCAAACGAATGAGTTCCCCAGTCAATTGTTTTCGGCGGTGGTTCGGATCCGCACAAAACTTTGGCTCGGGAATATGGCCTGGTAGTTTCCCTTTGTCCGGGCGGTCTTGTAGCTCACCCTTATTCTTTCCCTTGGTTTTGGGCACCTGCGGTAGAACGGTAGTGTTGTTGTTGATTAGATAGTCTTTGTTCGACCACTTCAAATCTGCCCGAATGGACGAGTCGTCATCGCAGCAAAGGAGCTCCAGAATAATGCATTTATTGTCGTATAGATCAATCACGATTTCTAATGCCAAAGCCGCTTCCATCGCACCAGAAGAATCATTTGGATCGTGGTTGCGGGGACAATAGTGCTCGGGATAATCAGGACGGGTATCCGCGTCAGGGTGATCCTTTTCATGCCGTTCGCATGTGCCGCACTTCTTGCTCTTTTGACCAAACGCAACAACCTTTTGGGTCATGGCACCAACCAAACTACCGTGGCCAGACGATGAATTGTAGAGAAGGCCGGATCCTTTCTGCTGCCAAGCGCCGTCGTACGATCCTTTCAACTTGATCTTGACGGGATGGTCCTTATGCTGGTCTGGGATTGACATCTTCCACGCCAAATAATGTTCTTCTGTGGTGGATCGTCTGACTTCGTCGTCCAGGTTTTCCATCAGGATTTCGTCCCTCAATTCCCGCAATATGGGGCCAATCCTGCGCTCTATCGTGGGAAACGTTTTGCCAGCCATTGTGGTATCATTCGGTAGCCCCATCAATCCAAGCAATTTGCCGGCTTCTACTCCACCGTCGCCATTCGCAAGATTCCCAAGAACGAACAATAGATTGAGCTGATAATCCGTGCTCCGTTCGTACTTCTTGTCGTCCGTATGCATTGTTGTCTTTGCGGGAAGGGGTAATTCGTAGGTGAAATCACATTCTTCGTTGGCACATCTCAGTCGAACTTGTGACACAATGCCACAGTTGTGCACGTTCATTATCAACGGCATTGGCTTGTCGTCAAAGTCGCAATGACAATTCCAGATCCAAGCGACCTGGAAACGCCCTTTTTGGACGCACACTATCTCTGAAATTAGTACTCTTTCTTCTATAGTAAACTTGCTGTTTTATCAACCACTTGCTAAGAAAAGGTCC